ATGTTATATTAAAAAAAACGTTTTGCAATATTTTTTTTCAATATTTTAATAAAAAACGTTGCAAAAACGTTTTTTTTCATAATATTATATTAAAAAAAAAAAGTTTTGTACCGTTTTTTTTAAATACTTTAATAAAAATAGTCCTGAAATTTTTCAGGTTTCAGGTCAGGTCAGGTCAAACAGACAACCTGATATAACCTGACCTGACCTGACCTGAAAAAAAATTTCAGGTCAGGTTTATCAATTAACCTGACCTGACCTGACCCATTCGGAACTCTATAAATAATATACTATATAATAATTTTTTAACCTTTGTAGTTTTATGTATTTGCATAATATTTTAGTCTTAAAATTTTTTTTTTTAATTTCTGTAATTAATGCCATTATATTCTTAATATAAGCAGCAAAGTTAATAGAATTATGATTTGAGTTGAAAATTTTCTTTTATTGATTAGATACATTTTATAGCTGTAGTTACTGTATAGCGCTGCCTACAGTGCCATGGTACTATTTAATTAGTACCCAAGTACTATTTAAATAGTACCAGGAGGGTATCACTGGTAAAAAAATGGTCTATCCTACACATATCTTACACATATCTTACATATATCGGGTATTTAAAATGTAGAAAATCATACACAAATAATACACATATTATACACATATCGGGTACTTATATATATAGTATACCTATCAGGTACCTGATATATGTATGATATATATATTAGTACCAAATATATATATGATATGTGTATTATTTGTGTATGATTTTCTACATTTTAAGTACCCAATATGTGTAAGATATGTGTAGGATAAATCATTTTTTTACCAGTGTACTGTATAGGGAGGGGGATACTAATCATGTCAGAATTTTTACCAGAATTATCATTTATATGCTAATTCTGACCTTGAGTACTCGATTAGTACTGGAGTACTATTCAAGAATATTAGCATTTGGTTTTGAATAATACCCAGTATTACTTAAGGGGGATACTTTATTAGGGAGGTACTGTAGGCAGCGCTATACGGTATAAAATATAAATGCAGAAATAAATTCTTAACAGGTTGATTCATTATAAATAATATATTTAAAAGTATATTTCTTTTTTTAAGTTCATTAATAAATAATTTAAGTTTATCTTAAATAATTTAAGAATTGGGTTTTTTAAAGTTGTCTTTAATAAAAAAATCATATAAAAATCTATAGAATTAAATTACAAATAAAAACTATACCTATTTTAAATATAAAAATATTATTTATAGAAAATCTATCTTAATGCAAAAATTTCTTGAGAACTTCATTTATTTTACAATTACTTTCTTATTTATATAATTGTATGTTTATTACTACTTTTTAGAAATTGAATCTTCTTTACTATTTTATTGAATATAAATTTATTCTTGATTTATTTTTCTTGACTTTTTTTTTATTTTAATTATATACAAAAAATATTAGGAATTATCTAAAGATTTTTTATTTTTTTTATTTTGTTTTATTTTTATTATATATAAAATATTAAAAATCACTATTATACAAAAACTTTTTTTTTATATCAAAATATAAAATATTGTAAATAAATTGCAGCAAATAACAATTACAAATAGAAGAAAAAACATAAATATAACATATATAGTAAGTATAACAAAATACTTAGAAGATCTTTACTTTTATTATTAGATAATAAATAACACATAATAAGAAAATCTTGGTCTGTTATATTTAAAGTACTAATGAGAGTAACTGAAAGAATAGGTATGATATAATCACTATATTTAAAAAACTTAAGACTATTTAAATTAATATATTTAAAAGTTTCTTTTTTATAAAATTTAGGATTAATATCAATTAAGTCAATTTTTTTAAGTTTTAATTATTATCTCATAACATGAATTTTTACAAGTTTTAGTTGGCTCTCAATATGGATTTATAGTATTACTATTTTAGGACCCCGGATATCTCCAAAACAGGTCATAAGTCACACTTTCGGCAGATTGGCCCATTTTTCAGGGGCTCAAAAAATCGTTTTTTGTAAATATCTCGGCATCCAGTGGTCCAATTTTGATGAACTTTTTTTTAAATTGTAGAGCTAAATGAGGGCTACAAAATAAAAAAAAAGTTCATTAAAATTGAATTACTGGATGCTGAGATATTTACAAAAAACGATTTTTTGAGTTTTAGCAAAAAGGGGTGTTTTTGGCCAAAAGGCCATTATGACCTTTATATTAGATATCCGGGGTCCTACTATTTTATAAAGAAAAGTAAGAAACTTTTTACTTTTTTGAGAAGAACTTTGTCTCTAATATATCTATTTTAGAGAAACATAGCACAAATATAGGAAGAATCAACAATTTATTTTACTAGTTACAGATACCATATTTTTCCAAAATTAGTCACTCCTTTTTTACAAGAATTTTGGTTAAAAAACTTGAAAAGATACTTAATTTTAGAAGTTTTTTACTAGTATTTTATATAAAAATCTTTTTATCAAAATTCAAAAAGTTGGTAGGAATGTTTAATTTCAGAAGATTACTAATTTTGGAAAAATATGGTAGCAAGAATCAACAATTTATAATAAATTTTAATAATTTTTTACTACATATAATCTGATCATTTAATTGATTTTTCATAAAAATTTGGCAGTGATGAATCTCTTAAAAAAGTTACATAAAATAAGAATTATTATTATAAACATTTTTATGGTGGAAATAGCTGTATGTGGCCACAGTCTGGATAAAAGAAATGCAATTAAGAGCTGGCTTAGATTGAAGAATTGCCTTTAAAAAACAAGATTTATGTTGTAATTTCAGAATAAAATTTAGGCACTTTAGCCAAAGTAAATTGAAATTAGTAATATTATTATAAAAAAATACTTGGACCTGTTAAACAACTTTACCTTGGCTTTTAAAGGTTTTTTTCATTAGTTTTTAATTTTATCTATCTATTAGAATTATATACAATTATACATAACAGTATCTATCCAAAGGTAGTTAAAAAAGAACTTTTTTTTAAAAAATAAAATTTATACATTAAGAAAAAAAAATTGTTAGTGTTAAATTTTACATGTTTAATAACACATCATTTTTCAAAAATGACATGCTCTATCCCTTAAATCTAATAAATGAACATTCTTTTTGAAAAATCTAAAAAAAGATTCTATAAAAATATGAATGTTCTTTTTTCAGTCACACTTAATTGTTAAACAGTTATTAAAAAAAAAATTTTTTCAGTATTTTTTATATAATAAAATAAAAATTCAATTTTTATTTTTACTACATGACTTTTGTTTTGGCTTTACCAATTCTCGGTTGGTTTGCCCAATTTTTTTCCTACGCGTTTTTGCCGTCCAACTACGCCATTCTGTACAACATAAATTCAATAATTAAAAAAAAGTGACAGATTATAAACTTTAGGAAATAAATAAATACCTCGCAGAACTTTAATTGCCAATTCCCTCTGCCTATATTTTTGTTTCCACTTCTGTAAGCACCTTAAAAAAAAATTCAATTTCAATATCTCAAATATTAAAACGATTATCTTGTCTAATTAATGCGAAAAAAAAAATCAATCTTACTTGCTATACCATTCAACAAAATATCGGTTTTTAAGTTGCATATCGATTTCTTTAATAATTTTTTGCCTTTTCCCATTTGCTCTTTTCCAATGTATAAAAGCATTTTTTATTAATTTCGTATTATAATCATCCTAATAATAAAAAAAAAAAAAATTAATTGATTTGAAAGTGCAACTTCAGAAGAAAAAAAAAATTGAAAATAATGATAATTTACTTCGGCCATTTCCGCTAATGAAATATTATTATTATACCGATCTCTCCATTTATCAAAAACTCTTTGTGCCAAAGTGTCTTCAGTACCTTCTTCAATATAATTATATTTTTGTGAACTAGATATTAATTTATCTAATTTATCAAAATAATTATCGTAATTAAAAAAAAAAGTCAAAGGTAATAAATCCTTATAGGTTCTTTAACAACCAAGTCACATTGAAATAATAAAAGGATATTCTCCACATATTAAAATATTTAGATAATAATGCATCTTGATTAGCCCCATTTAATAAATTATAAATGAATTTTAATCTCCATATTTTAAAATTTTCAATTAAGATTTCTTTATTTTTTGTTTTTGTTTTATATTTTGATGACCATTTTGTGAAAAATTTATTAAGTAATCTTCCACAACATTGATTTTTATGTCTTTTAGCTAACTGAACATGATTATCAATATGTTGTATCCTTAAAAAAAGATAAAAGAATTATGACTTTATTTTTATTAAAAAGAGTACGAAAACAAAAAATAAATAACTAACCGGCAAAGCCATCTTTCAAAGTGACGCTTTAACAAATTCCTTTGTCCAATAAGTATCACTTGTTCTTCAATATAAGAAACTAGAAAAAAAAACAATTATTATTATTAATTTAATAAATATGGACAAAAATAGATTTCTTTACTTTACCATATTGCTTACGATGATACCACTTGATTAAATATTTTCTCATAACAAGTTCTTTACATTTCTCATCCGATAATTTTTTATTTACTAATTGTTTTTGATAATTATTTTTCAATTTATGAAAATAACTTTTTAGTAAATTTTTTTGATGAAAATTTATAGCTAATTTCCACTGTCTGATTCCTTTTGCACGAAATGCTCGAATTTTTATTGTAAACCTAAACAAAAAGGGAGAATTAAAAATATATTTTCATATGTCAAATTCAAAAAAGAAACTTATTCGACCTTAAACCTACTTGCTCCATTCTTTAAAACATATTCGTAATTTTTCTTTTAATCTTTCCATTTCTTGAAGATCATCATCTTCCCCATCATCCGAGACAAAGAATGTTGTGTTATTGTTATTATTATTATTATTATTATTCGATATAGGACCATTCAATGCATTCTTTTCCAGTATCGAATAATCTCCCTTAAATAGAATTAAAATTGGTTTAGTATATTCATTTCGAAAAATTTTGTCATAAATTTATAGGGATCGGTAATTATTGGTGAAAAATTGAGAAATGAATTCTATTAATAAATTCAATACTTTAATTTTTTCAATTCTCGATAAAATATTTAAATAGTGTTCTAATGTGCTTTTGACTTACCTTAAGCGTGACTTCAGATTTACTACTTCCTTCAATATTAAAAAAATCTTTTCTCATAGGTGATCGTTTCTTATAATCAATAGTATTTGATATTCTACTCTGAGAAAAAACCTTTGTTGACGACTCAAAACTCTAAATTATCATTATTAAATTAGTATTTAATTTTTAAAGTGAATACATGAAATTGGTAAAAAGGCACCCTCTAATCGCAAAACGTACCTCTTCAACATTATCATAGTTTTGTTCTAAAGCAATTTCATTTGCTTTAAAATTAATGTCATTATCAAAACTAGTATTTTCTATACCATGATCCAATGAAGACAAAGAAATATTACTCTCTATAGTGTAATCTGATTCAGATCCATCAGATTTATTAAATATCAAACTACGCTGTTCAATATCTGATTTTAATCCGAGATCCTATAAATCAAGGAAACATGACTAAATGAGTATTAATCAATCATGATCAATTAATACTCTCATAGTCTCTTCAAAATTGTAAATCAATTAATTTTGGTCGTACCTTGATAGAATTTTCAAATTTTTCACCCCAATTATTTCCAGGTACTAAAGATAATTTTAATAAAAATTGATAATAAACTGTATCAATTTTAGCGTCAATTCTTCTTGTAGATAATACAACATCATAAGCTCTAAACAATGACATATACGAGAATGGTGTTATTTCTGTTAAACTACGTGAAGTGTACGTAGCTAAAGTTATTATATCCGAAAGTATCTCGAGGTCTACACAAATAATTTAATAAATAAAGTACTATAAAACATGAAAAAGAAACATTTAAACCGTCACTTAAATTAATAAGTACCTCTGACGGTGTAAGTATCCCATGTTTGTTTTTGAATTTCCGGGTAACGCGACTGTTTGTGACACAAGTTATTTTGTGATAAACTTTGAATATTTTGTTTTTTATTAGGAACGCGTTTATCAATATGGGCCATATTGTTAAAAAAAAATAAAGAAAAAAATATTATACGAAAGAAAAAACTTTTAGTTTGCGAAAATACGAAAATAACACATACATATATATATTTTTACCCGCGGGAAAGAAGTTTTACAATTTAACCAATAGATGTTATTATAACACCCATCAAAATTATCGCATCACATGTCAAATTAATTTCTCCTTTAATATTACTTTAATATAAACTTATAAATCTCGTTGTTTAACTTGATAATGCGTCCTAAGAAGTTTCCGCATTAATACTTTGTATATTAGTATATATTAAATGATTAATACCTAAATAAATTTTTAATAAACGGGACTCTAAACTTGTTGAGAGTAAAATGATCGGCGTATGCATATTAACCCAACCGGGTAACTAAATAAATATACATTTTATTATTAAAAAGGATTTATATATGCATGCAAAGTACAATAGTATTATTATATTATAAATATTATAATAATTTCAAATTTGTTTTCATTCATTCATCTAAAATTGAATTGGTTTGAAGTTTGAACACATTTCTAAAAATATAAAAAATATCTAAAAATTTTGATAATTTTGATACTATTATTTTATTTATTTATTTATCTTTTCCAAATCCAGAAATTACCATGCCACTGTGAAGAATTTCCCCATCTTCCACAAATTCCAACAGGTAATAAAATACCATCATAAATCCAACTATGTTTACCCTTATATGTTTTTACAAAATTTACATTCCCTTTCTCTGTAATAATTCCATGTTTAATTACAAACTCACCATGCTTATCAGATCCACTACCCGAAAATTCTTTTACTACCTTATCAGTAACACGAACGGGATTATAATCAATATGATTTAAATAATATACTTTACCCGGTTCAGATGGAGAGAATTCTAATGATGTAATGTCCATCGCTGATTCCCTCATTGGTGATGGTTGATTAGATATATAATATAAATAATATCCACACCATTTCCCGCTAAAATCTTCACCAAATGGTTGAATTATTGTTTCTTCGGGTCCCAATTCTGATTTGTTGTAAACATTATTGAAAACATTAGAATCCGGTATAAGTTGAGGTGGAGGTACATATTCATCAAAAAATTCACTCGGATTCGATAAATTAAAAAAGTTCGTGTGGAAAAAGATGTGTATTGCCGACCCTGCGGATGCCGGAAGAATTAATTGTTTATACCCTGTGTTCTCTAATTCTGGAAAAAACATATCAACGTTAATCATTGCATAATGAATGGTCCTCCATAATGATTTATTTTTATTCAAATCGATCGTAAGTTCGGGATGCCAAGAAATTAATATTGAGAGAATTTGTAAAGCAATAGATAGACATTGTATTTGATCTTCCATTTTATCTAATGATTTAATTAAGCTCACTGCCAATTCTTTAACATTTGCTCCTAATAGTACTTCACTATTCATTCCATCATTCTCTTGACAAATTTTCCAGATAATGTTTAAAATCTTTAATAATTCAGGATCATTATTCTGTTGAATCTTCCTTCGCGTTCTTATTCGATTTAGAATATTATCATTTACGAATAAATCAAACACTTCATTATCATTATCATAATTATCAAACATATCATCCATCTCTTCGATTTCACTTTCATGATCTTGTGGAATCATTATATCATCATTTTCATCATGATTCGGAAGATTACTTTCATCATTATTTATTTCATGATCCGGCGATTCATCATTTTCATTTTCAATAATGGCATCTCCATTAGGAAGACCATTTTGTTGCTCAATATTGTTCTCAATAGCGTTCTCGATATTGATTTCTGTGATATTTACATCAAACAATCCCACTTCCTCGTCTACATAATTCAATTCATCATTAACGGTGGTTTCATTCTGTAGATTAGTTTTTATATCATAATTAGGTAGATTAGTAATTTCGTCACCGCCATCGTCTTCTTCATAATCAGGTAAATCAATTTCTTGTTCATTAATAATTTCTTTTGAGGAACTCTCTACCTGGGTAACATTGAAATCTTGCAAATTAATTGACGCTCCATTCCCGTCGAAATCCTGTAATTGGGATAATCCTTCATCGTAATCTATTAAATTAGTTATGTTTTGATTATCTTCATAATCTTGTGATTCCTCATTTTCGTCAAAATCAGGTAGATCATCATCTATTGATTCTGTATAAACATTATCCGACAGTTTAGACGAGGAAATTTCCTGTGGTTTTTGAAATATAGTTGAAGATTCTCCATAATTCTGTATTTGAGGTATACCTTCATGTAATTTAGATGATGATTCTTCATCATCAGGCAATTTAAAAGACTCTTCATCATCATCCAGTAATTTAGATGATTCATCATAATCTTGCAGAGTTACATTTAAATCACCATTAATTTCCGGATTTGAAAAATCTTGGGCCTGAGCAACATGATCAACCTCTTTAGCAGAATTATTAGTATCTTTAACTAACACTTCATTATGTTGTATATCATTATCAATATTTTCAATATTTTCCATAGCGTTAGAGGCTTGAGTATCAATAATAAAATTATCTGACTCAATAGCATCTGAAGCAAATATGGAATCAAATTCAGGATCATCAAATTTGATTAAATCTTCACTTACAAAATCAAGGTCTTGAGACACACCATTAACATTAATAACTGAAGGGTTATCCATTCCAAAATTATCTTCGAATTTTGTTACATTTTCTCTTAGAAGTTCTTCATCTTTAGTGTCTTCTTTAAATATATTTTCGCTTACGATATCTATGTTTACGATATCTACGTTTTCGATATCTACGTTTTCGATATCTTCTTTTACAATATCTTCTTTTACAATATCTTCTTTTATAGTACCTTCTTTTACGGTATCTTCTTTTACGGTATCTTCTTTTACGGTATCTTCTTTTACAGTATTTTCTTTTACAGTATTTTCTTTCATGGTATCTTCTTTAATAGAACCTTCTTCTACGATATCTTCCTTTACATCATCATCTTTTATGGCGGTAAACGTCATATCTACCAGAGTGCTGTTTTCGAGTTCCTCACCATCTTCAAAGGTAAAATCTATGTTATCTCGTTCCATTTCTTCCGTTCGTGCTCCGTCTTTCTCGTTACCTATAAAATTAAATTCAACATCAAAGTCAAATAGTTGATCGTCAACAATGTCATCAACTTGATCAGTTGAATCTAATGTTGAGCTATCAACGTTGTTAGTATTATTATCACTATCATTATTAATCTCGTTTTCATCATCAAAATGAAGTTCCATAAAATCATCCAGATGTACAATTGTACTAAAGTCATCAGTTTCACCATCATCATCACTACTGGAAACGAAAGGTGAAGGTAAAGGGGGTTTAACGTAATTTTTAATTTTATTTAATGAAATTTGACGTTCTTTATACAATTCTTTCCATACATTTCTACCGGTTTGTAACTTTACAAAACTAGAAGAGTTTTGTACTTGAGAAGATATACTTTCACCTTCACCTTCGCTTTCTGTGCCATTAAAAACGCTAACGCTATCTCCAATTAAATTATTATCGGTTATCCCAGCTCTAATAATAGCTTCAGAATCAAATTTTGCTTCAAAGGTTATTTGCCATAATAGTGCATCATTTGCTATTTTATAAAATAATCGGTTAACTTGTGAAAGTATGGAAAGTTGTTTATGTGGCGAATATACCGTTGTTGGAGACTTTACTGTATTTTGATTAGTTATAACAAAAGCGAGTATATTAAAAATAGTTTCATTTGGAAGACGAGAAAAATAATTTGAAGTATCATATTCATGCGTAAAAGAACTAGGAGAACTAGGAGTAGATGAACTTTGAGTAGAAAGAGAAAAAAGAGCTAAAGTAGAAGCAGCAGAAGCAGCAGAAGTAGTAGTAGCAATATTAAAAATATTATTATCTTGTAATATATCCATTATTATTATCTTTAATACAAAACTAAAAAGCTAGAAGTCTATTAAAAAGAAGAAAAATTTTTTTTAGAATTTGTTATTGTGGGAAATTTTCTCTAATATTTTATTTGTAATTTAAAAAAAACCACACGTTAAACTTATTTAAGTTTAATATGGTCTTGTGAAGTTTGTAAGTTTGTAAGTTTGTAATCGTAATTTTTGTAATACTGCTCAACAAAAGACTAAACAAAACCCAATTTTGGGATAGATAAAAACTTTGCGTTCATAAGTCATAACCTGCGCAAAAAAATGATTTTGTAGATTTCACGTGAGATCAATAGTTATAAATGGAATATAAAAAAAAAAGTCGAACGACGTAACTTTGGTCATTCTTTCTATTTTTTTTTGATTAATGCGTAATATTAAATTTAGATTAATATCTAATATTATTCCAAGAATAATAAAATTTAATCAAACCAACGGTATTATATATTTATAATTTTTTTTTTCTATTTTACACTCAAAAAATTAAAAGAAAAATAATTTCTTTAGTACATTATGGAATACTTTACTCCTCCATAATTCAAAGACGTTTTGGTAATACAAATTCTAATAAAGTAGAATATTTTGATACAAGTTCATTTGTAGAAAAATTGGAAAATGAAGGATTAACAAGACAACAAAGTGAGGCTATAATGAATTCATTATCAGAAGTGATAAATAATAGGTAAAAATGCATATACGTATACATCTATGTACGTATGTATATTTTTTTCAACAAAAAAAAAGAGATTATTCTATTCTAAACGATCCTTATCTTTTTCTTTAATTCCCTATACTTATCTCATGATCTATAGCTTACGCAATGCAACAAGTGATTTTGTTATTCAATCGGATATAGACAAGGTAACATCAAAAAAAGAATTTTTCTTTTTCTTTTTAACTAGTATTAACTTTTTCTCTAAATGTTAGTCCATATATACTGCCAAAGTAGATATTTCAAAGTTGAAATCCGAATTACAAATGGTAGAAAGAAGTGATTTCAATACGTTAAAAATTGAAAATGAAAGGTTATTAACAGAAATTGATAAATTGAAACAAAAATTAAACGAAGAGGTTAAAAAAACTCAAGGGGGAGTAAAATTAGATATAAATTTAGAAAAAGGTAGAATTAGAGAAGAAACAAGTGGACTAGAATTAGAATTAACTAAGACTGGTACCAGAATTGAAAGCGAAATAGCTGGATTAAGAACTCAAATGGAAACAATTAAATCTCAAATTTTACAATATATGATTGGTACTTTAACTGGTGTTGGTGCTTTAATTTTAGGTAATTATCTGGTTTCATTTGAGACTTGGTTTTTTTACAGTTTTAATCAAATTTTAAAAAAAATTTCAATTTTATAGCTTACTTGCGTATGTTTCGGTAAATTTACCGAGAATATTTAAGAGTATTAAGATTATTCTATACTAGATGTATTAGATATATTTTATTTAAAATTAAAGATATACAAAAATTATTAATACAAAAATTATTAATAATAATAAAAAAAAACCAAAGAATATTCCTTTTTCCCTATTTAAATAAAGTTCCTCAATCTAAGTACAGAAACCACAAAACATAAAGAAAGGAGAGTAATTAAATAAATGAGGTTCGGTATATTTATCATTAGGATTGTGTGGAAGTTTTTTAATTAATTTTCTAGCGGAATTTTTGGCAATTAAACCAGTTACTAAAATAAATGATTCAAAAGAAGTTAATAATTCTTCCTCTTTACTATTATTTTTACTGGCACTATTATATGAATCAGCGTCTAAGATTTTGTTAGATACATTAATATAAAGAATATTTGTTTCTCTCTCAAATTCAGCAACTCTTGCACCTAAACCACTTAATCCTTCGACACAATATAAATCACTTTGTTTTCCATCATTACCAGGTATTAAAGAACCATTGGAGAAAACATTTGTATTTTTCTTGGAAGAATATGAACTTATAAAAGAATTTCTATTCTTTTTATTAAAACCAGCGGTAGAATTGTTGTTAGGTGTACCACCAATCTTCCAAAGAAACATTCTACCATTCCAAGATACAACGTATCCGCCTAATAAACTTTCATATTTCACTAAAGTACTTGGAGTCGATAAATTTGAAATTTCCCAGGTAGAAGTAGGTTTAATCAATTTGTTTATTCCGTCCATACCATTATTATTAAGTCCATTTAATGATAATGATGATGATGAACTATTAAATGTACATGCACTTCCATTGCTACTAACTGAGTCAAATGAAGCTGTGGATAAATTACTAAATCTATGATTTTTTACATTTAAATTGTCTCCTAAAAATTGATGTTTATTGACAGAATTATTTGGAAGTGGAGTAATAGTGGTAGTGTTGGTAGTATCATTATTAGTTGTAGTAGTAACCTCGTTTAATCTTGGGAAAGCGTTCCAATAAATTTGACTATTATTATAATAATCTTGTATACAAACATTTGGATCCGAAGAAGTTGGGACTTTGATTTGATATTTCGGAATTAAATCTGGTGATCCATTATTACTCGGATTTTTTGTATTATAAATTGTTATAACTCCTTCTTCTTTTATGTATTTATATTTCGCTAGTGAACTATTATGAGTTGATACGTATGGATTACTTTTTGGCATCTTTGGAATCGATGAAGTAGGTTTGGGAGTGACGATAGTTGGAACTATTGTGTTATTGATTCCAAGCGATGACATCTATACTTTTAAATTTTTTTTTGTAAAAAGGGGAAAAAAAGAAGGAAAATAAAAGAAAGAAATAATGGGGGGGGGAGGAATTTTTTTTTTTTTTTTTCACAAGGAAACTAAAGTATTTATATTTAAAAATTACAATATGATTTGTTCTACTGAAACACAACAAGTAAGTGGTGGTAAAATTCTATCATCTTTGACAATGATGCATATTGTACTACCTTTCACTAAACTAAAATAATAAAAAAACCGGCGAAATTATTAAATGAATATATATTACATTAACTATAATTAGACATAAAATTATGGAATTTTTTTTTGTCGAAATTGTCGAAATTTATTATTATATGATCATCATTTTTTTAATTAATCATTTATTTGAAAAATTTTTTTAAGGTTTGAATGAAGGATAGGGTATTGAAGCTCAAATAGAAAAAAAAAAGTGAATTTTTTTGTAATAAAAAATTTATTAAGTTATTTATGGGCCGTAAAGATTATAACCTAAGATATTTTTTTCTTGGCGGCACCCAAATAAATCATAAAACTGGTTTTCTATCCGGATTTCGTTTATTACTATGCATAGAGGAGATCTTCAAAATTTTCTAATATATTGAATAAATTTTTACAAGGAAGGGCTTCTTTACAATTTTCCTAAAAAAGCGTGAATGCGCCTACAATTGGTTTAGTTGTCTTACAATTGAAGATAGAAGAAGTATTATTAATAATGAGAAAAAAATGTGAATATTATGTATTATGCACTTGATACTTTTAAAACTAATTGTTCTCGCCGATAAATCCCTTGCAAAAGATGAAACAGTTGAAGCGATAAATAAATAATAAAATTACTTTAAAAAAACAAAAAAAAAGGAGATAAAATTAAAAATAAAATAAAGGAACAAAAAAAAGGTTATAAAGGAAATATAGCCATAATTATACATATTTTATTTAGCATAATAAGAAAACGCGCCTTAAAAAAAACTCGCACATGGTAACATCATCCATACATGTACTTTGTACCGTTTCACCATACAGTTTAGGAATGAGACATGCAAATCACGCTATGTATTCATGAATCAATTTCAATGCTATTGATTGTTTTAGTAGGAATTATACTATTCTCTAATATGTAATCCGCATTTAAAAAGTCATTATTATCCGCTCTATATACTGCCGCTTCTTCATCATTAGAAATTCCACTTTCTATATGTCTTTTGATAATCCTTTTTCTCGCAATTTCACGATCCACTTGTAAGAACCAGAGTTCATTCATTTGCACAGCAATCGATTTCCAAATTTGTGGTTCCTTCAAATGAAGATAAAGTCCTTCAAAAATTACCAATCGATGGCTAAATAATAAAATTATAATTTAATTGTTTGAATACAAAGTGAAAGTAAGAGAAAAGTAAAAGAAAAATTATTATAAAACCTTGGAAATATCTTGATATCATTTTCAATGGGATCGCCGATGGCATGATCAAATGATGGTGCATCAATGATTTTTTGGTGATTTATTGGGTTTCGAAGACTGGTGACAAGTTGATAAAGTCCTGTAAAAATGAACAATAAAGATAATAAAGATAATAATAATATAAACATATATTATATAATCCTATTCATTGTTTTCTTTTATTAATCACCTTCAGCATCAAATGTCCAATGCGCTCCACGCCGAGAATAAGCTTCTTCAACATTCTTATGCAGTATTCGTAAATTAATTTAATTAAAATTTTATTCTATTTATAAAACAAACAGATTCAAAAAGCTCATACCGGAAAAGTATCCAATATTTTTCTTGGATAATGATATCCATCCATTGATACGCTAATAGCGACTTGTTTTCCAACGAAATTATTTACATATCCTTCAAGATTTTTTGCTAAAGTAGTTTTACCTGATCCTGGAATGCCAGCTATTGCAATAAGAAAACGATTTTCTAGTGAAAGACTACATGGTTTAAATTTTTGTGAACAAATAAATAATTACAATAAAATACGGAAATAACGGAATGATTATAAATATCACTACTTTGAAATTTTTTCTGTAAGGTATTTAGCGAGAGTAGAATAAGTACTTTCCATTTGTAACTGTGCCTAAAATTCACCTGACTCACCCAAATTGGTTAGTGTAGTCTAACTAGTTTTGGATTGAAATGATAATCTGAGAGGTCCATGGTTTCAATTTTCGTCTCGCGTAAAAACCGGTTATATCCCGGAAATTTTTGGTGTTTTCGGTAATAATTGGTTTCCCTGATTTCCATAATAAGTAGAATTACCAAAATTACTGTATTGAAAAGTCCTGAAACATGCAAAAAAAAAAAAAAAAATTGGTGACATCAGCCGCGCTTTTTGACGCCTTAACGGCTTAACATAATATGGAAAAAAATTTAATTGATTCTGACTTAACTGTTAGTAACATATATAATATAGAAAAAAAATATTTAAAAGATTGAATATTTTGATCTGACTTAACTGTTAAGAAAGAATATTAATTAATTGTAATAAATCGTGTAGAAAAATTTGCAATCAAAAATGTTGTTAATGGTTAATGTTTGTGCACAAAATATGTAAATTATAAATTATGTAAAATTTACTTTATAATTGTTAATGAATGTATACAAATGAGCACAATTCGAATCTTATATTCTATTTTCCTTCTTTATTTATAATTCTTAAAACTTTGGTAGAAAACCAAAATAATAATAAAAATTTGTTTGTATTATAGATCAAATAATGTTTTTTTTTAATTAGTGTAAAAGGTGTAAAAAGTGCATGTTTGAACATACAAATGTGAGACAATACATGGCACTGGACCAGTGCCCTAGGGCACATCGGGCACATCGGAGAACAACTCCTTCTTACACGTGATATAATATGGTAGATCTGCAGTATTTAAATTCTTGGGTTTTTTTTATACTGTATTATTGGATTGTCGGAAGAGTAATTCCGTCGTGACCTAGTGTAGTAAATTAATAATGTTTCAACTTTCAAAAATTTTTGTGATCTAACGCGCGCCAAGATTTCGGAATTCGAAAAGTTTGTGTGCGCTTATACGGAGTTGTATACGGAATTAAAATCCCGATTCGAGAAGAAAATTTTGGAGCATCCAGAATATTCTAAATAATCTAGTTAGGGATTGAATTAATATTCCTTGTTTGAAAAAAATTATAAATTACCATGTCACTTATGATTTGATCTAAGAAAATTGAATCTTACTTGTTTAGACACAAAAAAAAATCTCCTCAAATAATTGGAATGGTTGTTACGATCCAATTAATATAAAATATAAATTAAAAAATCAAATGTTATAATTTTACGTTACAGTTATTGCAGTATTTGTATAAAATTAGTAGTATGGAATATAATTCGGACTTACCCAAAATAAACTTACCAAAAAAGTCTAAAGTAAAGAATGATAAAGAAACACCCATAGAATGTTCGATCCAATTTGTTCTTTCAAAAAAAAATATATATATAAATTGATTAAATCATTTGACCTATTACTCATGAATCTGATCAAGTTTATAAAAAGTCAAATAACGTAACTGATTAATATATATATATATATACGCACTTTGTTGCAAATATTAAATATTTTGTAATTAAGAAAAAAAAAAAAAAAATTTTTAAAAAATAAATAATCTTTTGTTTTTTTATTAAATAATATAATAATAAATAAGAATTAACAATTAACAATGACAGTCGCTAGAAGGAGGAGAAGGAGGAATGGGTGGAATGGAAGAAATGGAAGAAACAGAGCTCGTCGTGTTCAACCCAATAATCCCATCATCCAAATAAATCTTATTAACAACAATAGAGCGCACTTAAATATGATTACAACCCTTCCCATCCAAAATTTTTCTGATAACCAAATGATACACGAATTTTTTAACGGTATTCCCTTTTATAATACTATTAACGAATAAAAAATCAGGTAAGAAATTCTATGCGAAAAAATATAATATAATATATACCCAAACCAAAAACATCTACATTACTACGTTTTAAAAAAATCTCTATTGTATTCTTACGTACCGTACCAATCATTTCAATAATTTGATTTTGTTTGCGCCAAAGGTAATATCTGCATATATTATTACTACAGGAAATTATCTGAGAACAAGAGAGAGAATAATAACGAGACGTATTGAATTAAACATTTGGAAACAAAAAAAAAAATTTTTTAACCTCTGCCTTTTTTTACTTTAAATAGTTTAATTTCGATTTGGCATTGATCTACGTAACTACGTTATACATTTCCGCTATCCGTACTTACGAAAATAAGAATTATGGGCTTGTTTAAGATGATAAACAAAAACATTTTAATTTCTCATTCTTTACATCACAATCTAATATATTATCTTCATTTACTTCATTTATTTTATTTGTATTATTATTTATATTTTTTTAATAAATTTATTTTTATAATATCGAAATGTATCATATATTTTATTTAGGGTATTGATAAATATCACCAGTGGTGGCGGTCACCAGTGGTGGATTTATGATGTAATGCCGGTCAGTGTTTTATTAGATTTTAATTCAGGCCAAAAGTGCTTCATAATGCTGGTATGGTGACAATCACCGCTGGTGATCTTTAGCAATTTTCTTGGATTTATAAAGATTATCAAGCAGATTATCTATAATTTTTTATTGCCATTGTTCATATATATATATACAGTATCTTCCAAATTTTTTTTGTCATAAACCAAAAAAGGGGAGAAAGTGATTTTTTTTTTTTCATATTATAGTCAATATTATTTATTGGGTAAGGTGGACAATGTATATCACCCGGGTTGCAGGCGTCTCAGTGATATAATGTTCCCTTTACTCAATAATTAGGCTTTAATGTATTGAAAAAAAAAAAGTTCAAATTAATTCAGTAATGTTTTATTTTAATTAATAATTGGATTTTTTTTTTCCTCGTGAATTGCAACGTTTGGAAGAAGTTTTACACTTTAATAACGACAGATTAATGTCTAATTAGAAAGTAATTAAAAGAGGACAACACTAATATCAGCAACTTCAATTGCTGTAGATGAATTAAAATTTCGTACCAAATCAACTACGACAAATTAAACATGGATGTTTTCAAATTAAATAAACATGAAATCAATTTGGAATAACGTACAAGAAAATCATTCAAGCCTCTCATGAAAATAGAAAATCAAGATACTGGAAGAGAAAATATTCATCAGAAACCATTGGGTTACCCGCGTCCCATCTAATGATGCAGATTATCTTTTTCTCTTGCAGTCAGTTTAAAAAAAATTTATGTGTGTAAGTACGTGTTCTTAATATATTATTATTCTTCTTCTTATTTTGAACACTAAATTTATTACAAAAATAATTATTGTTCTTGCAGATTATTTTCATGGTGAAATTATGGGTCATAATCAATATTATATGTAGGATTTAATTTTTGGAATATGTATTATTTATTTCATGGAGAGTTGGGAATAATAGGGTTTTTTTCCCGAAGGAAAAAAAGACCCCTTCCTATGAAATAAATGGGTAATCCCTTGGAGCGGTCACTCATTAAATATTAACTATTTTAAACTTAACTATTTTAAACTAAAATTAGTAATTTCCCGGTTATCTATATGAGGCCGGGAAATAAGTAAACGAAGATTCCCGGTCATTTATAAACTCAGCTAATCACTCGCAATTGTATGATGAGTTACACTTAGGATTACGTTATGATTTGGTAAACTAATATTCATAATATTTATAGTGTAGTGATTTTACAATTTGTATAAGGAACCTATTAGGTAGTTATTCTATTATCCCATCTATGTATACACTGATGGATTTTTTTGTCAATTATTCTACCGGTATAAAAAAGTATAATGTTATTCCATGGATATCTAAAAAACTTCATATACACTAATCTGGGAGCATCGGTGAATATTTAGTTATTCACTGATATCCATGGAATAACAAGTATACTGTATATTCTACAGTACCGCACTGCTTAAATATTTAATATCAATGAGTTATTTTACATGAGTATTCTCAGGAGTAAAATAGTACTTTTTTATATAATTATTATTATAATACGATCACGGTCAAACAAAATTTAACCAAATCAACTTTATTAATTAAATAACATTATTGATATTTGAAAATGATAAAAATATATATACAGTGATTTATTCTATTTAGTTATGCTTATAGCGCTGCATAGGGTACCCCAGTCTTGTTCAGAGAGGGTACTACAGTATATGGGAAGGGTAACTCTACATGTAGTATGCGGGGGTACTAGTCATGTTATAAAACTAACAGGAAGTTATATCTCTGACCAAAAGCTATTAAATTCGCGTTGGAATTACCTTTAGTACTTTCAAAAGAAAGTATTAGAACGTCCGGAATTCGTCATGGATTGATGTCCGGTTGAATAATACCCTGATACTACTTATACGCATACGCGGCATATAATTAATTATATCATTCTATTAATTAAATGTTAGATCAAATGTTGACGATTGTATCAAACTGATAAAATAAACTTAATGAGGGTCGGTACTGAAGTTTTAGACCAACTCGATTCAATCGAATTTATAAGAATGCCTATTAAAGAAACGTCGCCAACACCACCTTCTGATATCAATCTCACCACTCCTTTCCAAACAATTTCAATATGTATTTTGATTGGCATCTCAGTTACACTAACCAGTTTACGTAATTCATCTAAATTTAATAAGAAAGATTCCAAATTACGTGAAGTAGTTCCTATATGTGATAAAGCCATACGAAGACGTTTATCTAAATCTTTCAGCAGGGTTAAATTTTCCTCATATTCTTGGATCTTTCTCGAATTCCCACCCAATTTTGACCAGAAGCTATCCAATAATTTATTATATTCTCTTTTATAACGTGTTAATTCATACGTTGTCAGATCATGTAATTCTACTGAAATTTCATCTAAATCTGCCAAACTAAATATTTGTTTTTTAAAAGAAAAGCAGAAAAAAAAAAGAAAACAAAGAAAAATGTATTAGTTTATTATTTACCTTCTGCGAGCATATTGAAAGACTAGAATCATCTCCCTTAATTCAGTTTCTATGAAAGTTGTGGTTTGATAATAAGCATCATTTGTATTGGCTTTATTATGATTAACAGATATTTTTAAAGCGCACAAATAAGTGATTAATTTATCCAAAGAACTTTTAGTTCTAGTTTGTAATATTTGTAAATCCTTATCAAAAATTCTTGCTTTATCGATATACTTAATTAATTTATCAGGTAATTCTGAATAAGTGTTCAAAGGTGAATGTTTTATTGGCATTCTTAGTTCAGTAATAGGTAACTCAACTATTTGAATACTATTAAATGTTATTGACGATTGACCATAATTCTCGACTTGTTTACGTGTCTGGTTATATAAATTAGATATTGAAAGGTGAAAAATAATAATAATAAAAATAACTACGCAAACTAATACGAAAAGAAATATTTTGTAAATTTTCTCTAAAAAAAACTCTATAATTTTTTGAAATAACAAATCTTTTAGTCTTAGAAAAGTTATTGCATTTATTATATTTGGCATTTTTCTTCTTTTTTTTTTTTGTTCTTGAGAAGGAAAGGAAAGATTGTGACTTGTGACTGAATAAGTCGTGTTTTATACACTTCATTTTTTTGATCAAAATATCTAAAATACCTTTATGGGCCCGATGGATCATATAAAAATCATAACAATGACATAATATCACACGTGGCTAATACAAACACTACGCACATGACGTACGGCATAAAATTGATCAATTATTTTATAGGATTATAAGAATTTTCGCAAAAAACAATAGAAGATCAACAAAATAAACATTTTTTTGCTTTGTAATGACATTTTACATCTGTTACACAATCCAATTCAAATTTATCCATTATACTTGTAACTTGTATTGAATGGATCATATTATTGAATGTTTATGTATTATTGGTAATGGTAATGACGCTATTTATTAATTTTCTATGTGATTTAACAAAAAAAAAACAAAATATACAAAAAAATAATTTTTTTAGAAATAATTTTTCTATTCTATGTACTAATAATAGGGTTTGATTCCTATTCCAAAAAAGCGAATGGATCTATCAATAAATTCTATATTAATTAATAAAACTTGTTATGAGAACGTTCTTTTTTTTTTTTTTTAACTATACAATGTATGCATAATTTGAAGCATTTCACTACGTGTAATAAATCCATCCCCATCATTATCATAAAATCTAAATAGCCCTATAAAAAAAAGAAAAAAAAAAGAACTTTGATTAGTTACCAAATATTTATATATATATTTATATATAGAATAAAATGATTTAGTTTAAACTTACATTGTAATCTACCTTCAACATCTTCACTAATATCCAAAGAACTTATAAATTCCTCAAAGTTTATAGTTCCAACTGTATCAGCCACCGTTGAAGAAGATGATGATGACTTATTTTTACTTAATTTTAAGGATAATTTACTTATGGATTTATTAGATTTAAAACTTTTATCTGATTTTTGACTGGTAATTGATTTCATGGTTGATTTTCTTCTTTTTATATTTTTTTCTTTAGATTTTTCTTTTTCTTTTCCGACATCGGTATGATTAATTTCTTCTTTAATAATCTCACATCCTTCATCGTTCGTTAATGGAGTCAAAGCAAATTCATTAACACCATAATTAGTAGAAACAGAAGATGAAGAAGATTGAGAAGAATAATTTGATATCTTTCGTGAAAAATAATCATCTTGATCATCAGAAGAATCTTGATCAGAAAATTCTTTTTCATTAATACTCTGAGGACTTTTTTGAGTAAAAGGTAGACCATAAGAATAATCTTTATATAAAGGACCATTCATCGAATGTGTATTACTTGGATTTGATACCTCGTTGTCATCATTATTAAAATAATAATCTTGGTTCATTAAATTACAATATGGAGTTGGAACATCTGATATAAAATTATCTATTTGGTATGGTGTAGGTGGACTATATATAAATTTAAAGAAAAATATTAGTATAAAATTAATGAATAATTATTAATTAACATAATGATAATTAAACTTACTTGAAAAAAGGTGATCTAGATTTTACATATTTATTACAATTTTCTAAATTATTATTACTATTATTATTATTATTATTACTATTATTACTTGACTTTGGCTCTACTTCATTACATTTATTCGCAATATTAATGTTCAATGTACTTAATAACTTTATAGAATTTTGTTTCGTCTGGATATAAACTCCTGAGACTTTTTTCAACGATTTTTCATAAAATAGTGATAATGAATTACGAGTATTATTTGATGATGACATTTTTTTTACAATATGTAAGAAAAATTAAGAAGAAATTATGAGCGAGAGATAGAAAAAAGGGAGAAGAGAAGAAGGAAAGGAAAGGAAAAGAAAAGAAGGAAAGGAAAAGGAAAGAGAAAGTTAAAAAGAATAGGAAAGAGGAGGAAAATAAAGGAAAAGTTTATTTACAATAAAAAAAAAATAGAGAATATTTATATGAAATTTTTATATTTATAATTTCTAAAAAAGATGATTAATAATCATACTCCGAATATTGAAGAATATTGATATTTTAAGTAGATATATACTTTTAAAAGTTTAAAAAAATGAGAACAAACCTTACCAGAGGTAAGTATTATACAAAATAAATAAAGTGAAAATAAATAAAATTTTAAAATTTTTTTTTATATTATTCCCACGAGGAAAACAAAAAAAAAAAAAAATGAATTTTTTTAAATCCCTCCCGGAAAAATTTTTTTTTTTTTTAAAAAAAAAATTTTTTTTCTTTGTACTATTGAATATATTATATATTATTTATTAAAACAATCAAAACTGTGGCTTAAACCGTTGTGTCCGTTGTGTCTAACGTCATATTATGTTATAATAGACACGTATTTGGCAGGATTTACAGGATTTACAGTAACACAACTTCTTTTCCACAATTGAATAACATTGATTTTCAAAGTAATACTCATTATGAACACCTGAATCTTTATAATAATTATAGTAAGTTCTTGTTCTTTTCATCGGTATACCTAAATTTGTAATTGGTGGCTTAAACCCTTCATTTATTTTTCATCCTGTATTATACATTATAATGTAAAGGTATTGTATTCGAATTATTGATACTTACAAATTTGGTATATTATTTCCAAAAGAAGTAAGTGAAAAGAATAACAAATCATAAATTTTAGAAACTTTTTGTTTTATTTTTTTGGATTAAAAAATTTATAAAAAAAAAAATAAAAGTGCTAGATTGAGACTTGTAACACAATTTTCACAAGTATTTTAAAATATTTGATTAATTGAAAATCATTTCTAAAAATCAAGTTGAATGAATTAAGGAAGGGATCTACTAATTATAAACAGGATTTTAATTCCATAATGTAAATAAACTCCTGAAGGGTCTGACCACAAAACGACCACAAAATTCTTAATAAAAGTTCATTAAATCCTTTTTTATCCATTCAATCCAAAAAAGAATTTCTTCGAAACACCTGGGAACTCCTTTAATACAAGATAACAATCCTGTTTAAAATAATTTTTCATACATAAACAATATAACAATATTAAATATTTCCTATAACTTGGTACTTGTTTCTAATTATACTTTATTATAATATTGTTTATAATATTAATTGTTATATCCAATTCATAATTCATATTGACTTTTGAGGGTAAAGAACATTCGAAAATTTAAAACTTGAAACTATTTATAATACATAATAATTGTACTCAATTAATTTAAAGTTTTCTCATGGTTTTCGTAGTTTCCATAGTTTATACTTCTTGTGAAACTTTATTATGGCTTATAGATAAGTCATTGGTATGAGTCTATTTTTGTATCTCCGATAATCCGATTGTGTCATAATAAAGTTATCTGTTATAGTTAATTTTATTCGGAAACTGAAAGTATCTGAAAAATATCTGAAAGTAGAAAGAATTTTTTTTTTTTTTTTTCTCTCTAAAAGAAATTAATTTTCCTTATCATTATTCATTTATTTGTATTTTTCTTTGTTTCTTTACGATCAACCCATAAACAATTGTTATAGAAAATTTCTTATTATGGTAATCTGAACCAAGACGTTTATAAGTTTGTTACAACCAATCATTTTTTATCGCGTAAAAATGTGTTTATTTTTTCTAACCCATTATATATATTTTTCCTTTGTTTAATAATAATAAATGGACAGTCAAAAATTTATTAAATATTTACGAATATTCCTAAAATGTTGATAAATGGACGAATTAAATTAAAGATAAAATGACTTGAATTCGTTCGTAAAGTTTGACCCTAAATGTAAACAATTTCTCCCTTTGTTCATGCTTTACCTTTTTTTCTAAGAAACCTTTATCAATAATTTATTATGTGCAGTATTTGATAAAAATATGTATGCAAAAGCAATATGAGATTATGTAATTTATGTGCGTAAGAAATAACATGTTAATCAGATTTACCTGTGCGGATTTGCGCACACTTGATGATAAACATTTGTTCATAAAGCACATGTCTGTATCGCTAAGCCCAGGATGAGCTTTGAAGGTTACCTGTCATATTCCAAGTCTCTCAAAATTGCACATCAATAAATATGTATTATTGATTGGGCGTTCAATAAGTATGCTATCGTTTGGTCATATACTACAAGGAATTACCTGGTTTCATTGAAGTAATATGAGATAATGGTTCTAAAATAGTTAATAAAAAAAGTATATAAAATATTAATCATAAATGCAGCAAGCAGCAATAATCCAATCAATCCAGAAGTTCTATACTATCAAGATTTTAACCGGCAATACTGTATGTGGAAATTATTGAAATATATCATAATAGCTCATCAATCATAATCTATTCAATAAATTACTATGCTGAATATAGCATAAGTAAAATGCCATACATTATTTAATAAAATAATTTAATGAAGAATTATTTTGGTTTGAGTGATTTTATACGTTATTGGTCAAGTAAAAAAAAATATCTCATTACTCTTGTTTTCTTTGAGTTACCAAGGGAAGCTACATACTTGCATCATACTAAAAAAAAAAAGACATTTCGTCATATTTTGAATAATAATGTAGAGCAACGTTTAATAGTACCGGGTCCAAAGTTAGACGTAGTATTATTTAACTAATGGCGAAAGTTAGTTCAATCATAATGTCGGTCAAATCAATTGACGTTTACCAACGCATTTTAATTGGGTGATGACCTCGATCTTTTTTTTTTACTGATCTTTTTTTTTAAGTAAAAAAAAAATCCAAAAAAAAAAATGAAACGGGTTGTTAATGGAAATAACATACAACAAGCATCCTGTATAAAAGTCAAATCCCGGATATGTTTCGTTGACTAAATAAAATTTCTAAGTTATGGTTTGGATAAAGGGACTGTAAAACTGCCAAGGAAACAAGTGAGTTATATTCTAAAGGATTATTTAAAACTTATTTTCTGACTCATTAATATATATATTTTTACGCCTCTTAGGACCAAAAACTTGCTGAGAGATTATTTTTGTCAAGCGCATACTATGATTCTTCTTCACTTGATATTTGAAGGTTCGACATTGCGCATTAGGCAAACTTCATATTAATACTTTATCCAAGCGGTGTTATACCTATTCGGTAACGTCCTTGAACCCAAGGTAAGAAAAAAATTTTTCAAAACTTCATCAAAGTACGCACGCATCTTTCAAAAAATATAATGATGTAAGGTTGTCGCCCCAGACCGAGTTATCTCTCATGTGGATACGACGAAGTGTATGCCAAACAACACGCTACTGATCTTTACTTAATAAATGAATTATTGATCCTAATTTTTCAGATCAAAATTTATTAATTTTCTCTCTCTCTCTCTCTCTCTCTCTCTTACTATAGTTTAAAATAATGGTACATATTGTACCTAACGATACATCTTTTTGTCTTCGTATGAAACATTCGATGTTTACCACGTTTAATTTATTAGGTGAGATGTAAATTTTTAGTTACTTCAAAGAACATATTAGTATTGTTCATTATATAATTATCAACGCGAGATGATAATCCAATATCTTTTTATGTACTATCAAATTCTGAAAATAAATAATAAAATTAATGATGGATCAATTAATATGATCGCAAAAAATAACCTTATTTATTTAATCTTATATCATAATAATGAGAACGGGATTTTAATTTTTTGTTATTCTTATTTTTATGGGAATTTAGGATTTAATTGGAGAAATTATTTAAAGCATTCAAAGAGTCAAGGTTGGCGTTATACATATACTAATGTTATAAAGCGTTATGATGTATATTTACCATGCTAATTCTGATGTATTATCTATAAATACATTATGATGTTAATTTTTCATTTTATTACTGATGCTTATCATAATTATTATTTTTCTTTTTCATCTTTGACTTCACTTTATTAACCAGTATAAATTATATTTGATTTATAGAATAGGAATACTGGACACTATACTACTTTGTGAAGAAATCAGAATATTACAATCAGGAGGGTTTCTTTTCGAAACAAATATCTAAATTAGGTATAATAAGAGCTAATTTCATACTGATTAGTTGTAGCTGCAATTTATAGAATGCTATCTGTTAAATAAAGTAGACCATGTTTACAAAAAATCCAAATAAAAAATTGATTAAAATATAAATCTTAGTTTCTTTTATAATGTAAGTTTAAAATTATACTCTTTTTAGTTTGATTATAGGATGAAAAAATTTCATTCTTTTTTACTTCTGTCCTCATCATTTCTGAGATGTATCAGAATGCAAGAGATTTGTCATTTACTTAAAATTTTTAAAAGTCTCACATTTTGCCCATTTGTACTTTTTTCACGTTTTGCTCTTTTCAATAATAGCCTTTATGTTTGGAGAAATTGTGAAATCAGCATGATTGAATTTGAAGAAAATTAAAATGAGCACAAAAAACAAATTAATTAATTCACCAGTGCTATAGTTATTTTGAGGTTGATGAGTCACATGACTAAATCGCGGGAAAGACATTTCACGATATTTCATTTTTGAAAGACTAAACAAGAATATTAAAATTTGTGTGTTCGCGTGTGATTGATGTACTAGAATCAAATCGATCTCATGGACCCCGACTACAAAAATACACTAGAATGAAACATGCAATTCCGAATTTGCGCCACAATACACGCGTGAAGTTTTATTGGACACAGCCCATGTAATATATCCTTTTCTGGAGAGGTGTCTTTGGCCGCGGATTCATTGACCAGAATTAAGGAATATCTTGCACTTTTTAGTGGCCAAAAAAATGGGTCAGGTCAGATCATCCACACGTACAGTAAGTAGTTTTGCCATTATGGTTATTGTTGTGGCGAAGAATTTACCAAAAAATTCATTGCTTTTATTAACCTGCATTGGGTTCAAGAAAAACATAGCACCTGATGTGTTATGATTCATGACGTTAAATTGTTTTTTTAAGATGCGGATTTTTTTTCAATTTGTTAAAAAAAAACCATTTTTTCGTGAAGGTCTCAGATTTGGATAACGAGGTTTTAACGTGCCTTCACTTTCAATTAACTACTCAAGTGTTTCGAGCTTTCTTTTTACTCTTTTAAAAAACCTCTCATACTTTCTTTCTTACGAAAATGGCCTATCAATATGATCAATATCAACAACAGCCACCTTACGGAGGCGGTGCAGAAAACAAAACTACACTATGGTAAGTGTATAGTTTAATGGTTTTCTCTGAAAGACGAAAGCTCACAGCTTTTTGTCATTTAGGATGGGTGAGCTTGAACCGTGGATGGACGAAAGTTACATAAGACAGATTTGGTATCAGCTTGGCGAAAATGTAAATGTAAAATTCATTAGGGATAAGTTCACAGGGTAAGAACTAAAAAAAAAAAAGATCTCAAAATCATTTTTTGATACATTATAATTATAAATTCTCTTAAACTTTTCTAATAGAGCAAATGCTGGATATTGCTTTGTGGATTTCGTGAGTAACGCGGCCGCGGTCAAAGCTTTAAATACAGTAAATGGAACGCCAATCCCCGGTACTAATCGATTATTTAAATTAAATTGGGCATCTGGAGGTGGATTAACTGACAGAAAGTAAATGAATTTATCATTTTACAAAAAAAAAAAAAAAAAAAAAAAAAAAATTTAGTCTAATTGATACTATGATCTTATTGATTGTCTTATATTCCTTCAATTTTATTAATATTCAATTCGTAATAGGGATGATCGTGGTCCCGAGTTTTCGATTTTTGTTGGTGATTTAGGACCTGAAGTAACTGAATGGATGTTGGTGGTAAGTTAAATAACTTTATCGTGATTTTCCTTTATTTTAACATGAGCTAATATTTTTCTATTCTTTTATAGTCTGTTTTTCAACAAAGGTATACCACTTGCAAGTCTGCTAAAATCATGACTGATCCTATGACTGGCATGTCTCGTGGTAAGTTAATAAAATAATAATTTATGTAGTTTAGTGGATCATCGAAATTGAAAATTTTTTCTTTTTTTATTCTTTTATTGTAGGATATGGTTTTGTTAGATTTGGTGATGAATCTGAACAACAACGTGCTCTTGTAGAAATGCAAGGTGCATTTTGTGGTAATCGGCAAATGCGAATTTCCACGGCGACACCAAAAAACAAAGCCGGCATCCAAGGAAATTATTATCAACAACCTACTCAACAGAATACTGTCTTGAATCAATATAACGATCCGAATAACACTACAGTTTTCGTCGGCGGATTATCGGGCGTTAATAGCGAAGAAGAATTAAGAAGGTATATATTATGATTATTTATTTTCCTTTTAATATTTAAATATCATAATTTCATTTAATTAATCAATCCTAAATTATTTAATATGTAGTTATTTTCAAGGTTTTGGTGAGATTACTTATGTAAAAATACCTCCTGGTAAAGGTTGTGGTTTTGTGCAATTTGTTCATAGACAAAGTGCCGAAATGGCAATTAATCAGATGCAACATTACCCAATTGGTATTTGTTATTAATTTAGATTCCTTTATCATAAAACATAACTTATTTAAAAAATAATGGATTTTACGTTATAGGCAATTCTAGAGTACGTTTATCCTGGGGTAGATCTCAAACTGATAAGACTACTATCGGCGCTTATCGGTAATAATTTTGCACATATTAATAAAATTTTACCTAAACATAAGAGATTGACATATTTTGTTCGTCTTGTAGTAGTCCACAACAAACAAGCCCATATAATTCCATCGGAGGTATGACACCAACATCAGGTTACAGCGCTTATGCTCCAGCAACACCCGTTGCCACTACGCCGGTGACTCCGATCCAACCTCAAAGTTCAACACCGCCCTTAGACTCTTTGGACCCGGTCCCCGTTCAGCGTTTAAATGAAATCTTTATTTCCAAGCAAGAAGCAGTGATTGAACGAATGGAATCAGAATCTAATTGGATCGGAATTTATGCTCAATAATTTTAGAATTGGAGATTTTTAACTCAAAAATTAAAATAATAATATATATATATATATAAACAAAAATTTTATATGTGTAACATATGTTTCATTTTGTAAAGAATTTCATTTTTTCTATAAATTTTCAAAATTAATAATAATTGATTGAAAAATTATATTTTATTTAGTTTTAATTTTTTAATTTCAAATAAATTTTGTAAATTGTTAATTAACTTGAAGAATTTTTTATTAAGCCCGTAATCGCTTTTATTTTGTCTATTAAAGAATTATCATAAAGTAGTATTACTAAATTAGAGACAAATGATGACCCATTAGAATGCATTGGATAATCTAATACACGTGGTATAGATGTTTTAAAGAACGGAATCCTATCTGTTGTAACAGATTTCATTAAACACAATGAACGGAGTCCTTCTATACCTCCAAATCTTATAAAAAAAATTAAAATTAGAATTCTATCAATTAATTTTTATAATTGAATAATTGAATTAAAATTATTTACCTTCCAAACCCAGAAATTCCGACTCCACCAAATGGTAAATTATTGAGATAAGTAGCACCAAAATCATTTACATTTACCATACCACATCTTAATCTTTTAGACATCCAATCACCTTTACTTTGATCTCCCGAAAATACAGAATTACCTAATCCATAAAGCGATTTATTACATATTTCAATTGCTTCTTCATCCGTTGAAAATTTCATCACTACCATTATAGGTGCAAATAATTCTTGTTTTAAAATTGTCATTTGTGGAGTTACATCAATTAATAAAGTAGGCTCAAAATATTGCGCTGTTGGATATTTTGGATGAATATATGGGCGTCCTCCTAAAATTAGTTTTGCTCCTTCTGATACGGAAGCTTGAATTAAATTTTGAAGGCGTTCTCCCTACAATTAAGTTGATTTTTAATAATACAAAATCATGTCACATTATTATTATATAGTCAGCTTACAAACCTGACCACTCATAGTCATTGCACCAACATCCACAACAATATCATCATTCAAAACACTTCCAACTTTCATTTTTTTAATTTGATCTGTAACCCTATCTACAAATTCATTATATAATGATTCATGAACTAGAATACGTTCTAACCCAACACAATTTTGACCAGCGTTTTGGAAAGTGCCACGCATAATAATTGGAAGTGCATGAGACAAATTTGCATCATGTCTTATAATAGCACAATCTTTTCCGCCCAATTCTAAAATGCAAGGTGTTAAATTATCCGATGCAGCTTTCATTACTTGTTTACCGACTGAACTTGATCTAAAAATAATAATATGAGAAGTTAAAAAAATATATATTTATTTATTTATTTCTTATTCCGTTTTTTTTTTGTTTTAATCGCGTTTAAAGTTTACCCGATAAAAGTTATTCCATCAACTCCACTTCTTACAATAGCTTCACCACAATCAGGAAATCCACACAAGAACTGAACAATATCAGGATCATGTCCACATTCTATTAAACAAGTTTTAATGATTTTATTATAATATTGCATTGACCATGCTACTTGTTCTGATGCTTTAATCAAAATTCCATTTCCAATAAATAATGATGATATTATAGGAATAAATGTATTATGGAATCTAAATAATAAATTGTCACATAAGTTGAACAAGAAATAATCTAAAACATAAAAAAAAATATTTTATACTTACGGATAATTCCAAGATACTAAAGCTGCTACAACACCAAGAGGATGATATTCAATTTTAGCCAATTTATATGGCATAACTGGACTAGCTTCTCGATATTCGGTAGCTAATGCTTTTTCTCCACGTTTTATGATCCATCGTATTTTTTCACATGTTGATAAAATTTCTCCAAATTTTCCATCAACAACTACATAAAAAATTATATTAATATTGAATTAAAATTTCAAAAAAAAAAGGTAAATACATACGCGTTTTTCCTGTATCTCTACTAGAAACCCAACAAATCTCTTCTTGATTATTTATAATGAAATTCAATAGACTATTAAGTACCCTTTTTCTTTCAGCAAATGTTGTTTTAACCCATTTCTGTTGTGCATTTCGAGCTTTCTTTAATGCTTCTTTAACATCATCATCAGTGTGAGCTGGAATTGTGGCTAAAAATTGTCCTGTCGCTGGATCATAACACGTGATATAACCAGGATTTGAAACATCCTACAGCAGAAATGGTTAAAGCGATTAAATTTAAAATTTATCAAACAATTCGATGAAATGATATGTTACCCTTAAGCAAGGTTTCTCCAAAATTTTACCATCGTTCCAACCAGGTTTAGCCTCTAAAAAAAAAGAAGAAAAAATAACAATTAAAATAAAATATTTTATCCCAACATTTGATTAATTTTTTTTTTCTTACCGATAGGAGCTTCAACGACGAATTTCACAATTTTATCTTTGAATAATAAAAATTTTAAAATTAAGATTGATATGATAATTGTTAATATACCAATTAAAACTTGAGTTAAATTCAATTCTAATAATGATTTTGTTGTTAATTCAATGAATTCAAACATTTTTTTTTTTTATTTTTAATTAATTTTGATAAAGATAATAAAAATTAATAAAAATTTCGTGTTCTTAAATTAAATATAAATCAATTAGATAAAAAAATTTTTTTTTTTTTTTTTTGATTATCATTACATTTGTAGAATCGGATAAATGATTAAGCCGTTAGAACTTTCTTATTAGTGAAATATAGTTTTCGTTTTCCTTTTTCTATTCTATTCATATTAAAAAGAATGAACTTTAAAAAGTTTACAATGAACAAACAAATTAACTGTGCAACATGAAGCTAAAGAAACATACTGTTTTGTAATCATGACATTTTATGGCTAACTACATACGTATTTACACCATTTTAAAATAGGTTAAAATAATCATTTTTAAATAAATTCCTTAATGTAAAAAATTGATAATGATACAAAGAATTTATGAAAACTAGCAAATCAAGTGATTTCTGACCTTTTAGATTTAATTCGAAATCAATGCTATAAGTTCATTATATAACCAGAACTTGTACATTACAACATATTTTATTTCGATTAAATAATTAATTGGGTACTTAACTGAAACCCACGAAAATCCAATAGTCATATTTATTATTTTAAATATTTAATAATTTAAATCAACTTTGATATTAGTTTCGATTCGGATACCGGATAAAAGCATGACGATCATCACGATGTTATCTCTACTTTCTTATATATGGAATCATTCCCGAAGACATGAAATAGTTCTCAAGTACGCCACTAGCTTATTAATTAGTATCTCTTTAAAGTTTGTGTAGTTATCTACAAGAACTAAAACATCCAGCAGAAAATTCTCGTTATGGACTTTGTAATTCATTACAGGTATTATATTTTTTCGTTTTTTACGCGGAAATTAAAAAGTTGTTCGGAAAATTTAGTTTTAATTGCAGGAAATTGATTTTTATCTTAATAATAGATACCAGAGGATAGTGTCATAGTGACCCTTACGAAACCAACAAACAAGCAGCAAGAGTGGAGACAATGCTGGATACTGAAACTTGTTCGATCCATCACACCAATACAGGCAGAATTAGCATTGTGTATGAAGGAGAACTTAATAGCATGGACCCACTCCGTGGTTAGTTATTAAATGTATTTTTAAATGTTCCAATTATGAGAGAATTCGACAACTGCAACCATGCTTTAGGAAACTGTTTCGAATTGGTACCCAGGACTCTACATGGACAGATGGTACCGGTACCCCGAAGAAACCTATTATGTATTCCCTGACGATCGAGATGATCAAGAAAACGTAAAAATCAGACTCTGATTCCTCCCTGTGTAAAGTGTTAACTGGTAAAGAAATGATTGGATTGTTTTCGTGTTGCTAGTCTTGAGCTTCAAAGTGAACCAGTGAACCTCAAGAAAACTATATGAGTTTTAGGTATAGTGGAAATTAAAAAAATTAGGTTCAAGGGGCAGATTACTTTTCTGGATTTCTATGGTCGTGTCTTTACTTGTGTGTCATGGTTTTTTAGAGATTATTCCGAAATAGTTAGTGTCAAATGAATCCAAACCCAGGTTGCATGGGACGTAACCATATTCGAGCTTAAAATGAAAATTCACGGAAAGCCGTAAATATCATTGATTATCACGGCTGCTGAAAATCAATGATATCCACGGTTCTCCGTGAAATAACTATTACAAGCTTTATTAGAATTTGAGTTTTAATAATAAATAATATTTATAGAACGTAAATTAGTTTGAACAAAATTTATTATAATTTAGACTAGCAACCCAAGTTTTTTCTATTATACATTACAGATCACCGTGAACTGTTAATATTTATGACTGGTTCTAAAAAAAAAAAGAAAAAAAAAGAAAAAAAAAAGGAAGAAATTAAAATACAATATAAATTAGTAAGAAATATTATCTTCAATTAATCATTATTACTTTTACTTTTTCTCTTATTAATTTTTGTTAAATTATTAAAAAAAAAAAAAAAAGGATTTTTGTTTCAATGACCCTTTACTAAATAAGAATTAAGAACATCAATATAGAAGGTCAGGTTTGTAAGCCATTGTGATTTCATATTACTGTAAAAATCATTAAATTATAGCACCAAATCCCTTAAATTTTGTGTTAATATGATATCTATAAATAATAAAATATTTACGTTAACATATAAAAAAAAAAATAAATAAAATGATTTCCTTTTTTAAATTTGATTAAATTATAACATACCTGTTATACTACCCATTATATGTCGCAATAAATTTGTATCTGTTGCATTAGTGAAATGTGGGTAAATTTCTTTTATATCACTACGATTCAACCGTTGAAATCTTCGTTTGAAGTAATATGTTGTTTGTTTAAAATCTCCATTTAGCCCTAAAATTTCGATTCATTAGATTTTAATCATACGCTAGTACAAATATAATTAATCCGGTCTTACCTTGATAATCAGGGAAATATTTCTTGACAGGAGATTGTTTGATTTTTTCTCGAAATATATCAATTTTATTTAAAAATAAAATCATTGAAGTGTTCACAAACCATTGTGAATTACATATTGAATCAAATAACATTAAAGCTTCTTGCATTTGATTTGCATCTTTATCTTCCACCAAACATTGATCATAACCACTTATGGCTACCAAGAATAATACAGCTGTAACATCTTCAAAACAATGAATCCATTTTTTTCGTTCTGAACGTTGACCACCCACATCAAACATTCTATAAGAAAAAAAAAATATTATTGATTAATTATTTCAAAATCGAAATTGGCATAATTATCAAGGACTGATTATTACCTGTAAGTTAATGGACCTAAATGGAATAAAGTTTCTACAATTCCTGTTGTTTTCATTCGACAACGTAGAATATCTTGATCTGTTGGAATATAGGTTTGTAAAAATAATCTATCTAATGATTCGTAAAAACTAAAAAGGGAATAAATAAACAAATAAATAAATAAATAAAAATTATAAGTATATACAAAGTTGAAGAATCTAAAAATTTCAAGACACTTACTAACTCATATTATCATGTAACGCGTATCGGTGACCCCGTTCATAACATTTTTGTACACCAGTATCGGCCCATAATTTTTTCAATGGAATCAAATAATGAATAGGAAATGGTTCACCTTTAGAAATACACGGTGGATCATTAAATAATGATATATATTGCTACATGTAATAAGAATCTATGTGTTAAATACTTGATCAAAATATTAAAAATATGATAAAATAATTCGTGTCCTTGGAAATATAATTACATTATTATTATCATCACCAAGGGGAATTCTATAATATTCCATTGCTTCAAGTACCAAATGAATTGATTGGACGATGTTTAAGAATACAATGGATCTATATGTTTCTTTCTCTACACTACTGAAACCTGCTGCATGAATTAATTTCATTTGTTTCAAAATTGTACTTTTACCAGATTCTCCAGCACCTAAAAAAAGTAAACAAAAAATTAAATAAACTTTTTCACCAATAAAAAATAATTTTATTTTTTTTTAAATGATACCTAATAAAAGCAACTTCACTTCAGTTTTTAATTTCTTTTCGTCTTCTTTTAAAATTTTATTTATTCGTTTATTTGAAGCAACGTAAGTGGTATCAGCTGGTTGAAATATACAATTTCCCATTTTTACGGTGTTTGTTACTTTACAATTTTGAATAATGTGACTAAAATAAATTCTGTAATAAATATTTATTATATATTTAATAAACGTGTTTAAAAGGTAAGAGGAAGGGTAAAGGTTGAAGGTTAATATATATAGTATATATAAGGAAAATATCAGATAATGGATATATATATTACAAGGATATATTTTTATTCGTTACTTTTTTTGAAAGGGTTCGTTAATAATAAAAAATTCTTTGTTATATTCTTTGATGGTAATACAAAAAGAAAATACGCGAAATTTGTTCGTTAAGTGAAAGGAAAAGAAAGAAAAAAAAATTGATGGATGATAAGGATATCGTCGTAAAATGGAAAATTTATAAATACGGGAAAAAAAATATAGTATATTTTTTTTTTTTTTTCTTTTTTACTAAGAATATATGTGGTTTATATAATGACTAACGATTACACCTATAAACCGGTAGACTTGTGTTACAAAATCGAATGTTACTTCGAAAAAAAAAGAGATAACGGGATAATTATTTATTAAAATGAAACCTGAATCCTAGTCTGAGAATAATTATTTATGGAAGTTCCGTTTACGTTGAAATTCAAGCGGCATATTAATTTCACGCAAGATTACTTGTTCTCAACAATACAAATTATAAATTTCTTTGGATGAGTAAATCTTTTAATTAAATATCCGAAATTAAAAGATTATTAATAATGATCTCGGTTTACCACGAAAACGTGATAATACTATTTAGAATAATGAATCGGAAATGGAGAAAAAATCAACAAATTATAGAGAAGATAATCCATCAATTTTCAATAAAGAAATTCATTAAACATTATTAAATTAGTTAGAATTAGTTAGTTAGTTTAATTAAACTGACACCAAAAGCAATCAAACTTTATAATACCGAATTTTGTATAACAAAAACATCATTTGTTTGTTAGTAAATTACGCACATATAAAATATATCACTCCTTGTTTTATGTTCTTTTGCCCCACAAAATTTCCACATGGTACTTTTTCATTTACAGATTTATTCAGGCATGACGGGTAAAACTTAAATTTTAAGGGTATTTTAAATATATAATGATGTAATTGTTTTAACACATTACGTAATAATGAAAGTTTATATAATGATGCTGACACCTTCTTAATAAGATGATGATTAACAAATCACTCGTTGAATTTCGGGGCATTTTTCTTAATGTTTCAGTTTTCGGACCAATTTATGATTTTCTCAAATTTACCTTTTCTTACTGCGCCAATATTTTGTGGTTTTTTTTATCATTTTAATCATAAATATCAGATTTTGTTTGTGTCTTTTGTGATGTAGATAAACCGGTTGAACCCGAACCTGTACTCTATATTTGTATTTTTATTTAATCTGAATAGATAATCTGTGGTAAAAGGTTGGTTTTGTTTATGTAAATTAAACTGTTTCGATATCAATGAAATCAATAGACGCCAATTATAAATTTATCCTATTTCTTAATTTTCGCACATGAGAATATGAATGAAAATAAATTCGTCCATTCAATGAAATTTATTAAGGATTATCTTGGCGATTATCATCATTATTACCTATATAATATGCAACTGAATAATGGAGAGTCATCTAATGAGTAATGACAATAAGGCAAAATATATTTATGATTGAAAGGAGAAAAATTTTATTGATTATAAATGGTTTAATATCTGTCTAAACTTTCCTTTTTGATTTATTCCTTAAATAATACCCTTTTTTGTGCCAAATAAAATTGGTTTGATCTCCTTCATGATCCTCTTTTCCATGAAATATCTTTTCTTTTTAAAATCGCTTTGATAAAAGTCAAAGATTGTGATACCATCAAGGGGCTTTTTCTCATGGTCAATCTTCCACCCCATTGGAAATCTATCTAATTGAATAATTTCAGGAGTACTGTTTTTTCCATCTCTCTTATATTTTACCATCATCGTACCTAAACATAAAGTTTTAACAAAGAATGCGTAATCATTTAAGAATGGAATTTTGAATCCAAGGATGCGTTTGTTTGAGGTTCCAATAGAAATATTAAGGGCTAAAGAACGTTGAAATAATTGAAGTAAGTACATTTGTTGGAGATCAATCTTCATTGGAACGGAAATTTCCGAGGAGGTATTGATCTTGATATCAGAAGATTCGGCGACGATGATAGTACTTTCTTTCTCCGTCTCTTTTTCTTTGTTGAGCATTTCTATTTGATTCTTTTCTTGAAAAGGTTCGAATCCAATTTCTTCAAAAACTTCAAGGACAAAATCCTTTGTTGACTCGTATTCTTCAGCGTCTTTAAATCTTTCAAAACATTCAAGAATGAACTTTCTTTTTGCTTCATCAACTTTAGCTTCACCAGTTAAAAATTTAAAAAAGGTAAAAAATGCTTTCTTATAATTATCTTCATACTGCTGGACATTTTTTTTGTTTGGTTTTGTGAACATTTTTTGAGATGAACTTTTTTTTTTTTAGAAAAGGGAGATGAAAAAATTTTTTCGTATCATTTCTTGATTAATTTGATTATTAAATCATATCGAGTCAAATACTCATCAAAATCAGTTAAACAAAGATTCATCATATGATATCATATATACTGTATACTTTGATTTGATACGTTCATCGCGGGCCGCGGCTCTGGTTTAAGATTTTTTTGCTGCGAAAAATTCTTATCCTGAACACTCGTCGCTAACTAAATACGGTATCGAATATAATGAAATCAAGCAGCGCTAAGCATAAAAATTTTTTATAATCAAGCCAAATATTCCGATCACACTAAAACATCAAATTTTTTACCAATATTCAATAGGTTTAATCATGAAACTTAATTTATAATATACAAATAGAAAAGAAAAAAAAAAAATATACGGAAAAGAAATATTTTAATTTAAACGTCTAAATTAACATTAACGTCATCTCCAATATCTTCACTCAATAAAAAAACTTGATGACTTTTAAACACGCGAGCCCTTTTTTGTTCATCCCAATTTTCCTCTTTCGCCATTTTATCAATTTCCGTTAATAAAATTTTCAATTCTTCTTTTAATTGTTTAACTTGAGATTTTAAATTATCAACTTTATCTTCATCATATTCAATTATTCCTACAGCAACGGTACTAAGAGCTTTAATTAACCTCCAAAGACGAAACAAAATCAATAATCCTGCAACTTCTCTTTGTTTTCCTTTGAGGAAAAAGTCTAAAAGAAATGTTGTTATTATGATAACCGCATCAAAAAGATGTAATTGCCAGTGATGATCTTTTATGAAATAGCGAATTCCAAAAATGAACAATTTTAAAATCACTTCAATAACGAAAATAAAATTTATTGTAAATGCGATATATTCAAGAACTTCAAAGAAAATATGTTCTTTTTCTTCAAATTCTGGCCATAAAAACGATACAATTATTACTGAAAAAACGGAAATAAAATCTGCTGCTACTAATCCAAGTATTATCCAATGAGCTTGACGAGATTCAAACTTTCTTGCAAGCTTTTCTCTAACTTCATCAATTTTCTTTCTGAATTTTGACCTATCTCTATTCATCAATTCAGTACTTCTTGAAGAATTCGTTGGTATAGATGATATCGTTCCATAATTCATTTTGGAAATTTATAGTTTTCCCCATTAAAAAAAAAATCAGTCACTATTTATATTAGATTATTTTCATGATATCATATTTACCATATTTACCCATAAATGTATCACAGTGACCATTCAAATGATGTCATATTAATCTTTTGTTATTTTATTTACCGAACTATATGTATTGTATAGCAAAATTTACATGCAATTTTACAGAACTTCTTAAGCTATAATAATAGTTTGTTCGAAAAAAACGGTTTTTCATGATTATAAAATAATTAATTTGTGAAACTTGTGAATTTCATTAGTTAATAACATCATGTAAAAGAAATGCAATTTGGTCGAACTAATAGATCTTTGCTCAAGAGAGAATTTTATGTTTTAACCAGGTCGTTCTCAAGGATAGATTGATGGATCAGAAAGTTTCCTGGGTCTATAAGGTAAAAAAATCAAAAAATCAAAATTTTGCATTTTTATCTGAAAAACAGCTTTTTTAACAAACAAATCTCTTTTTCTTGTAAATTTATATATAAAATAACTGTTTGATATGTGTAATTAATTATATTAATCTTATAAAATTTTAAAATATCAGTAGTAATATTTTGATATTTGATTAAATATTTGATTAAATATCACTGCTAATGATTGTCATCTTATCAGTAGAATTAAAAATATCTGCCTTTTAATATTTATGTAGTGAGAATTACGGGCTTAAAATAGATGATAAAATTCCGGCAAAATCCGGAATTTTTAAAAAGTCGCCGGTAAAAAGTTTTATGTTCCAGATATTTGTCCGGCAAAATTTTAAGTTAACTCCATATATATCTGGTAAATTTTAGTAGATTCCGGAAAAAATCCGATAAAATATTTTCTTTCCAAATCTTTGGCCGGATTTCTATTTTAAGTACTGCTTGTAATAAGATTTAGCAATATTTTATTTAATCAGTTTTAAAATTACCACTAATTATTAATACCATAGTTTTCAGAAAAAAAAAATTTTTATTTTTTGTACTAAACTATATATTAATATTATGGAAAATATCTTCTATGATAGTCACTCTCATTATAGTCACATTCTACTATATACTTACATCTCACATAATGCTGGGTGAATACATGTACAAGAAAAGGACTAATCCTCTTTACCCACATGCATTCTACATTTTTTAAAAATATTTTCAACCAGTCTTTTACAAAATCGTACTCTTGTTTTTATATGGAATATAAAAACATATGCCTCACAAATGAAAGAATTTGCAGAAATTTTTGAATAAAAAAACAAGGTCTTGTATGATATTACACTGAAAAGATAATTTAAAACCATTAAAACAATTCTGCCTTGTTAATCTTAAAACTGTACCAGACCCATAATGGGTTATAATTACTGTATATGCAGAAATCAGGTAAATTTGCTAAAAGCATTTGCTTTCTATCATCAAGTGTTTGCTTCTAACATTCAAATTGGATTTAATGATTCTGACTATAATTGGTATTTCATTATAGAAAGAGCCTATCATTTCAATCTACTTGAATAAATATAAAAATGAATGACTAGAAAGTTTAAAATAAAGGAAGAAATTCTAAAGTGAAAATTCATAAAAAGATAGAAGTGAATTTGAAAATTATTTCAAAAAGAAAGAAAAGAAAAAGAATACTAATAAAGAGAAGACTACATGGAGGTCAAGTTAGGAAGTTGAGAAAGTGAAATAATATATAGGAGGTCCAATTGAGATTAAAATTAATTTGGAAGAGTATTTCTTTTCCATTAATATTTAAATGTGTCTCAAAACTGTTATATTTATTCTAAAGTTGAAAAGAAAAGTTTGCTTAAATTTTTCTTAAAAAAGTATGGACTTGATGCTAAAATTAACATACTATATAATAAAATGTAAAAAATTTATTCAGAAGCAAAAAAACACCCTTTATAAGTTTATCTACAACTGCGAAAAAAATGCATAAAGTAGCAAATTATTGTATTATAGATATACTGTATTGTCAGAAACTTTTGGTAAATTTAAATCAAATAAATAATTACAGAAAAATTGCTTTCATAGTAACTTATATATCTTTATTTGACTTATATTATTGTACAAATAGAATAAAGGTATGAATCTTCTGAACACTTATACTTTTAAACATGATATGGTATTTAATACAAGAATATACAAAAATACAGAAAAAGAAAAATATTCTGATACATATATTTTCACCTAAAAAAGATATTGAAATGAGAATACTTGTAATGGAATTGGATTTTGCTTCATTATATTCCAGTTTTATCATAACATACAATTTCTCTCCAGATAAAATAATATTAATGCATAAAAAGGCTGATATTGCATAAAAAAATGAAATCAATTTGCATAAGATTATTTTCATTTAATAATTACATTATTTAAGCTTGAAGTATATGATATGATAATTAATTTAAAAAAAAGATTTTATATCCTATTATATTAGAGAATTTATTCAATAAGAAAGTAGAACTTAAAGTATATCTTGCCTTATTAGAAAAAAAAAAGAAACAACTTGAGAAGATAATAAATTTAACTAAGGAAAAAGGTAAAAGAATTCCAAAAAGCTTAAAATTAGAATATTCATTTATATACTTTAATTATAATTATTTTAATTTAAAACAACAAGCTTTAAAGATATATATGAACACTTTTTATGAAGAAGTAAAAAACTCAAAATTTCCAATCTTTTTTATGAATTAGCTGGAAAAGTTTTACCAAATAATTTTTTTAGGTAATTATCAGAAAATAAAATAATAGGACTCATTATTGTAAAACCTTCCTTTTATATTTTTCATCATTATAATAATAATATTTTTTATTTTCATAATAATATTCATCATTATGCATATTACTATCTTTATAATAATAACTTAATATCCTCTTTGACTTGAAATTCACTTGAAAAATTAAAGACATAGGTTGAGAAGTTTATTTGGGTATTTTTAGGCAAATTTTTTCTGAAACATAATGTCTTAAAAATTTCAATTATATGATCTGTTACCAAATGCAACTTTTCTAATGATATTTCATAATCTATAATCTCTTGAATTTACTATGAAAATCTGTATTAATAGTTCTTTCACATATAAACAAAAAAAGTTTAAGAAATAAAATTAAACTGGAGCTCAGAAAAAAAAATCTAATTAATAAAATTAAAAAGTTTATATTGAAAAATTGCCAATTTTTTGAAATATTTTTTAGATTTAAATACAATAGCTTTCAAAACAATTGTATAATTATTTTGGATATATTTGAGATATTTTTGAGATTAAAATATCAAAAATAATTATATTATAATAATAAAATAATAATAAAAATATTAAAAAATTATTGTGATATTATTTTAAATTATTTTTATAGATCTAGATACAATACAATTATAAAGTAATAACAAAAGTATAATAAAAATATTTTAATGTATTAAATGTATTTTAGTAGTATTTTAAAATTATAAAATTATTTCAAAAATTTGGCCATTTTTAGTGAAGTTACCATACATACAATTTTAAAATTAAATACTTGAATAATTATATATGTTTGTATAATAAAAATCTGATTAATTGAGTTTCTATAAAAATAGTAAGATTAATATAAAATTAAAATAAACTCTGTACTTTGATTAGATTATTCACAAATAATTTCAACTAAAAGGCAGAATGATCAATGAATTAACTATTCTACTACATGCAAAAAAGTGATATAAAATGAAAAATCTTTATTACAATATAATTCAACTGCTAAAAGAAAGAATAAATTATATGATATTATTATTCATTAATTATTAAAATAAATTTAGAATAATTTAAAGGATTTTATAAAAAATCGCCATAGCAATGTGTCGCAAGTGTTACGTGACTTTACATATGTGAATAATTTGTCACCCCGCGTCATATCCTCTAGTTTTCCATTTTTATTATTTATTCTGGGAACTTAGAATTTTTTCAGTGCAAAAAAATACTATTTGTCACTCCCTATACATCACGTGCTTAATTTCGGCCAAATTTTATAACGCTGGCCAAAATATCCTTTTTGGAGCTTTAGGTAACGTTGCACAATCCAAAAAAAGGCAATTTTATTTTTCAGCAAAATTCAAGTTTTTGTTACACAAAACTTCCAAAAAAAGAAAATTTCTTTGACGATCTTTTAATTCCGGCTGGAATTATAAAATCACGTGACACTGGCGATGCATCGCCATGGCAATAAAAAACAAAACCCTAATTTAAATGTAAAGAAAAAAAGCAAAAAGAAAATTATTACAGGGATATGATTCTAATACTATTAGTATAATGAACATCAAGAAATTGAAATAGAAGTTATGAACTGTAAAGAATGTTATGCTCTAAATCATTTATTATGTAAATAACGTAAAATAATATATTAGTGCTTATTAGATAAAACAAGTGCATAAATATAATATCCTTTTGGAATAATATTGTAAACATTGATCATAGAATTTAATTTTATTATTTTTGTTTTATATTTCTAACTCTTTCTACTATGTTTAAATTAATAACACTATATAAAAAATCTAAAATACTCAAGTTATTAATTATTTTTCTTGTGTATTGTGATTGAATTAAAATTCAATATCTTTATTATAATATTGACAATAGCAGATAGTAATATGATTAGAATTTTCTAGTAGTAATTTTAAAATCACATTTTTTTCTGAACATATAATTTTTTTTTCCTAGAATTTTGTATGAAAAGTACTTCTATATGTCTATTTTTTTCTTCCATTAATGTCAAAAATTAAAATATTTGGTTCTTTAAAAAATTAACAATATATATATATGAAGTAAAATATAAATCAGTAGATTTACTATTAGATTTCAAGTTAGTAGACTTATCTTTATTCAAAAACAGTAAGATTTTTTTATATTCTTCATATAGTTGTTTTTCTGCATTTCACTTGGCTACTTCAGTCCAATTAATAGAGGCTTTTGACTTCTCTATCAATTTTTTCAATTCTTTCAAACTATTTAAAAGACTCCAATTTTTTTTTCTCTAATTTATTAAA